AGTAAGTAAGCTACTAGGCAATAAGCACATGAAAAGATGCCCATATGTTATTAGACATTAGAAAAATGCACATCATGATCACAATGAGATGCCATTTCACTCCCACTAGAATGTCTAACATTAAAATGACCGATAACAGCAAATGTTGGGAAGGAAGGTGACATGGCTTGGATATGGTTTGTCTGTCCCCAGAAATCTCAAGTTGAAATTTGATCCCAGTGGAGCCCAGTGGGAGGTTTGGATTTTGGGAGTGGAACCTTCATGAATGGCTTGGTGCTGTTCTCCAAGCAGTCAGTTCTTAGTCTCTTGAGAATAAGTTCCCTCCCTTGGTGAGTGGGTTGGCATAAAGCCAGGATGCCACTCCACAAGGGTTCGCTTCTCCTTTGACCTTCTCTGCCATGTTGTGACACAGCATAAAGGCTCTTACCAGAAGTCAGGGTCATGCCCTTGATCTTCTGAGATGGCTACATAAACCTCTTTTCTTTATAAATGGCCTAGTCTTAGGTATTCTTTTATAGCAAAACAAAACAGATCAAGACAGAAGTAGAACAACTGTACATCTCATAACTGGTAGTGGGAGTGTTAAGTAGTACAACCACTTACAAAAACTCTTTGCAGTATGTTATAAAGTTTAAGCATACATCTACTATATGACCCCGTAATTCTATCTACTCTTAGATATCTTCCCAAGAGCAATGGGAACATTATTCATAAGGAGACTTTTCAACAATGTTCATAGCTTTATTCACGAGAGTTCCAAGCTGGAAACAATTCAGAGGTCCTCCAAAAGGAGAATGAAGAAACAAATTGTAGTATTTTTAGACAATGACTATTACTAAGAAGAAAAGATAAACTATTATTATGTACAACAACATGGATGAATCTCAAAATTGTTATGCTGAACAAAAGAATCCAGTTACAAAGGGCTATATATTGTATGAGTCTGTTTACATGAATTTCAAGAACAGGCTAAGCTAGCCTGTGGTGCTAGGTAGAAAAACAGACTGCCTTTAGGAGGTGCGATCGACTGAACTTTAGGATCAGGCAAAACTAATCAGTGGAAAGAGAAACCAATGCTGTGTTGTCTGAAGGAGGTGGAAATTGTTAAACCCAAAATTCTAAATCCGAGAGACCACCAAAGAGCCAGCTCCGATGCAAACACACGAGGGTCTTTATTCAGGCTCGAGTCCAGGCTTACAAACCAAAACCGACGCAGTGGCTCAAGCTTGGGAGCCCCGATCCAGTATACCAAGCAGTTTTTATGCACAATTACAGAGGGAGGGGCTGGGCGTGACTGGTTTTTCCTAGGCTTACAACATTAACCAATCAAAAGAGGTCATGACAGAGAAACCGAAGTCCGCGGACCTTGCATAATTAGTCCCCAATCAGGTCCGCAGTGATGTCAAGGGACAGAGGCGCTTGAGATTGGTTGGTTTGTTTTTGGTTTGCGCGGGCTCGAGCTCAGTTGCCTGTGATTGACGGGAAACGGCTAAACGGGCAGAGTGGAATGCCAGAGAAGCTAAGTTTACACAGTCACTGCGCGTAAATTAACTTTGGCATGTGAGCAGGAAGTTGGAAACATCACAGAGCCCACCAGGAGAGTGGCCAGCGCCACAGAGTCTACCATAATCTAAGCAAAGGAATGTCCAGAAGGGGCTTATTGCTTAACATTTACACCCCGTTGCAGAAGCAGAGGAAGCCAACATGGCAATTGGGATAAACAAAAGCTTAATAAAGTTCTAAGTACACACACTACTTAAAACATTGTATAACTTTATAATCACAGTCACTACCAGGCAAAGGAATGTGCCTTGTGCCTAGTCCTATGGGGTCTGAGGTAGGATTTAAAATACTAAGAATTCATAAAATATAGCGAACGTGAGGCAGGGATATATAAAATACAGTGAATGCTTCTTTTACAGCAAGTATAGCTTTTTTGAGTCTCTTGGGTCCCTCAGAAATAAAATGGAAGGAAACTTTCTAGAGGAAAAGAAATGAATGTTCTTTATCTTGATTGGGGTGGTGGTTACATGCATGTTTGCATTAATAAAACTCATCAAATTTTATACTTAAGATCTGTGCATTTCACATTTACGTAGATGGTATGTAAGTTTTACCTAGTAATGGAGCGAATGGTAACTGATTTTAAGCAAGCAGTGTCTGCAGTCACAGTTTTTCACATTGTTAACCTAAACAACAAACAGAGGCTCTCTGAAAGAAAATGACGTGTATTTGGTAACAGGACATTACAATGGTAATACTCTGTGTATGTATTCTGACAGGTAAGAGAAGACAACAATTTTTAAAGGAAAAGTGAGGAAGATGACATAATTGTTCTGACATAATTGTTTTTGGTTTCAAGGATCAATAACAAGAGTGGTGCGTGTCCTGAGACAGGCAGTTGCTGGGCAGATGTCCTTGGAAGTATTTTTTTGTGCAGCATCGTGGATTTTGCAGTCTTTTGTGATGGCTCTGTTATCAGACATCCGTGCACGAGAACCCTCTCTTCATGACCTTCCCTGGCTCTATTTGTCAAGATGTTTTGTTATATATTTATTTTTCACACAAGCGACTCCATTTTAATTCTGATGACTTTCATGACATACAGGCCCTTTAGTTTATCGGCTGAGGAAAGAAAAGAGAAAAAAACCTGTACAATGTACTGAGTATTTCACATTTACTGGACTCTACGAGTACAGAGATGAACTTTTTGCTGTTCTCCGGAAGGGAGACTCAAGACGCATCGCCCCATTGCTGCCCCAAGGTTATCATCGGATAAAGCTCAAGGGGAGTGGAGTGGCCATGGGAGCCCCGGGTTAGCCTCAGGGGTGAGGAGCAGGGGAGGCGTCTCAAAGGAGCCGCAGTGTCCTGACTTGGCCTGGGGGAGGGACAAAGTGTTCTTGGTCTCTTATGCTTTAGTTCTCCGGCGGGGGTGGTTAGTGAACCCCAGTTCTTTCCCTTTTTTTGAGTTGGAGTCTCACTCTGTCGCCCAGACTGGAGTGCAGCGGCCGCTCCCGCCCACCGCAGCCTGGAGCTGCTGGGCCCCGGCGATCCTTCCGCCTCAGCCTTCCGAGTAGCCGGAATTACAGGCGCGTGCTACTATGCCCGGCTAATTTTTTGACTTCTTGTAGAGATGAGGTCTCGCCAAGTTGCTCAGGCGGGTCTCAAACCTACAGGCTCAGGCAATCCACTCACCTCGGCCTCCCAAAGGCGCGGGATGACAGGCTGAGCCACCGAGCCCGGCCCCTAGTTCTTAATTCTGAGGAAATAGAGCTGTGTTCCTGCAGAGTTTCTGCACACAGTTGGGTTTCTGGGTCTGCTATCACACCCAGCTGGGGTCCCAGGCAGGCACAAGGTTGATGTCTCAGAGCTTCCTAGCCCCGGAATCCGGGAATGGGATGGGCCGCAGAAATCTTAATTATGCTTTAACCAAATACTTGAAGCCCCTCTTTTTCCTAGGCGACACTTAGCGTCTTAGGTTACAGGTTGCTGGTACATTCATCTCTATTCTCAAACATCTTCTAAACCTGATAGAAGTGACAATTGAGAGAAAATTCATTTTCTGAAAGTCAAGACCATTTAAGTTTGCCTTGAAGCAGAAGTCTTGGGTCTCTAAAGTGACTTTTCTCTGAATTCTGATACGTGACATAGTAAATATTGGGCCCCTGTGTGCACCCTTGATCTTCACAACACGTTTGTTTAGTGGACAATGAAAGTTGTTAACCAGGGGTATTACTAAGAGGAAAACTTTAGGCTTCTGAGGGGAATCCCTTGGCTAATGTCACCCAGGTAACCCTGCTAGGAGGTAGATCTGATAGTAAAGCCCTTCAGCGAGCTGGATTGCAACCCTTCAAGGACCACTGAGCTCTGAAATCCAGGTGATTTTGATAATTTAGAGGTTAACGATTAGATTTTCCAGACCTGTAAATGGCATCCATGTTCCTCCACCCCATAAGAATTTGGTTGTAAGTGCTGTGTCCCAAGTGATAGGATGGGAAGGAAGAGATTTAAGAACTTGAAGCACTGAAAGGATCACACATTTGTTGAAAACACTCTGGAGCCTGGTTTTTGCCATATCCTGTTATGGATTTAAAGACATGCCATTACTGATTCTTACCGGTAAGGAGTCACCTACCTGTGCGTGAGCAGCCATTATGGAAATCTGGAAAATGTGGCGATAAGAGTAGGTGGGGGATCCGGTTTTTCAGTGTGTCTGTGCACTTTCTTTCATGCACTTGTGGGACAGTTGAGAGTCACTTCACTCCTTTGTCCGTCCATTTATTACCATGGAGCCACCAATTTGTTCTAGTTGAGTGAGTGAAACAACGAATTAAGAATCTGGGTTTCACTCCCACTCACATCACAAACTGCTTGAGCAACTCAAGTGGGCAATTTGACTGCTCCTTACGTTACTTTGCATATCTACAAGGCGAGTATAACAATTCTTGCCCTAAATGATTATCCTGGTCAGTTTTGAGAAGCAAGTAAGACAAATAGGTAATACAGAGTTTGGACTGATATTCGGCACACACCTATGAGATAGCGATGTGTTCAGCCAGACATTATGCAGGCCAGAGGTTCTGAACCTTAGTAAGTATGATGATCCTTGGTGAGTCCATGGAAATCCAGATTCCTGAGCCTATCTTCAGAAATGCTGAGGGTCTGTGACCCAGGAACCTGCATTTTAAGAGGACTTCAGGTAATTCTGATGCAGACGATCCAGAAATCTCACTGAAAAGCACTGCTGTGTCTGTAGAGTATAGCCAGCAAGGTGTCTGCTTCAGGATTCCCCAGGGCCCCTCATGGGGAAGCTTTTGCCTTGGGGTTATTTATACACACTCAGAAGGGATGTCTCTTCTTTCCTGTGTTTGCCCTCGAAGGACTTAGACTTGACAGGGGCTTACTAGAAACATGCTGGCCTGCCCTCCATGCAGAAAACCGTGCTTCTGCATGGGCATGACTGGGGTGTAAGCAATCTTGTCTTTTCTCTCTCTCTACAGCAATGCAGAGTCTTCAGAGAAGAGATTCAGGATGAACAGCTTTGTGTCAGACTTCGGAAGACCTCTGGAGCCAGACAAGGCGCTTTCTCACCAGGGCAATGAGGAGTCCAGGTCTCTCTTTCACTGCTACATCAATGAAGTGGAACGCTTGGACAGGACCAACGCTTGTCACCAGACCACAGCCTTCGGCAGCGATGTCCAGCTCCAGGAAGCCATCGGAGGTGGCGGGCGGCCAGAGGAGGAGCTGAACAAGCTTATGAAGTTTGACATCCCCAACTTCGTGAACACGGACCAGAACTCCTCCTTTGGCGAGGATGATCTGCTGATCTCGGAGCCACCTATTGTTCTAGAAAACAAGCCGCTTTCCCAGACCGCCCGCAAAGACCTGGATTGAGAAACATGCTCTGCAAAGTATCTTCCTGAAGATATGGATTCTGTCTTGTGTAGCAAGAAATCCCTGTCCACCAAAACTGTGTTTGGGAGAGAGAGGCAGAGAAAGAGAGAGAGAGAGAGAGAGAGAGAGAGAGACAGAGGGGAAGACAGACAGAGACAAACAGAAACAGACAGAGAGACAAAGTAAGAGATAAAAAGAGAGAGACACAGAAATAGAGACAGAAAAGTGAGGCCCCTCAGAAGTGAGCTGATTAGCTGAGTTTTTTGGCTTTTTAATACTTCAAGTGTGTACACTGTGTCATCTTCCTTGTTGTTGAAAAATTTGACCAAATACTCAATGTCTGCTTTCTTGAGCGAGGACTAGCTGGACTCTAACCTGGGTCTGCCACACCATGCGCTACTCTTGGCAAGCTGCTTTGCCTCTCTGGGCTGCCACATCTGCAACTGTAAGGCGAAGTGTCTGGAGTGACGCTTCCCAGCTCTGCTGTTTTGTAAACTGATGACTTTGCATCCAGATGTGGCTGAGATATACCCAAAGCCGTGTAGACTAGGGCACTGCTTCGTGTCTCTTGATACGGGATCTCCTGAGTCTCTGTCCCTTCCTCTTAACCCTTCACCGAGCCAAGCTTTAGTCAGGGGGTCTGAGTGTCTACCAGGATATCAGGAGACTTGTCTGACACAGTCGCTGTGACCAACATTTCTGCTGGGTTGTGCTGAAACAGCTCTTCTGAGGACCTCCAGCCACCCATGCACAAGCCTGGGGACAGCTCTGCTCCCCGTCCCCGGAATAAGTGCCCATCCATGGTACATCCCCTGATGCTTCTGTCCCAAGAAGGTTGTCAACTGAATCAGAGGCCTTGTGTTTGTATATCTGTGCCACTGGCTACAGAACAAGAAAGATACTGTCTGTCATGCTGTCTGTTAACTTGGCAGATGTGTAGCTAGCTGATGGTCATGTGACCTGGAGCTAAGCTGGTCGGTGGGTTGTAAATACACCACTAACAAATATTCAGGTGGCCTGGATTATGTTAATATGTGGGCAGCACAGAGTTGATTTCATGAAGAAATCAAAGCTGCACACTGGGATCAAAGACACCTTAGTTTTGCAAACACAATTGGTTGCATGTGTGGCCGGTGGCTATCTCTGGGTAGCATTTTCATTATGAATTTATTCACCACCCTTTCTGCTTAAGCTACAAAATAAATACATTTGACTGCACAGGGATTTTTCTCTGGTTCTTTGTTTCCACCCATCCAGTTTTTCATGTCCTGAAAAGCTATACCATGTGTGTAATGCCTCCTAACTCTTTGTTTTTGAGTTGGAGTCTCACTCTGTTGCCCAGACTGGAGTGCAGTGGCCGCTCCCGGCCACCGCAGCCTTGACCTGCTGGGCGCCGGCGATCCTTCTGCCTCAGCCTTCCAAGTAGCTGGAATTACAGACATGTGCTACCATGCTCGGTTGATTTTTTGATTTACTGTAGAGATGAGGTCTCACTGCCCAGGCGGGTCTCGAACCCGCGGGCTCAGGCAATCCACTCACCTCTGCCTCCCAAAGGCGCGGGATGACAGGCTGAGCCACCAAGCCGGCTCCTCCTAACTCTTTGGCGTGGTCAGTGCTGACTCTGTCACTTCTGGGATCCTTGTGATCTGAGTCATGCATGAGATTTCATTTAGGAATTATTCTACTAAAAGAAATCCCTTTCCATAATGTATTTTATGGAAAATGTTATTCTTAAGACTCTAACACTAAATAGTAAAGCAAGGAGTGGAACATTTTTTTTTTTTTTTTTTGGTAATTGACTTTAGCACACTTTGGCACATAGGTACTTGCTATTTTCATGATTATTTTATGTGAGAGAACAAGAGTACTAAAGAATGCTGATTTTGTTAACTTATACCAATATGACTATTATTATTCATAATTTACTTAACCAGATATAAATTATGGGTTTGTTCCTATTAAGGTTCAAAACTATTTTGGTGGCATCTTATTTAGAAGTAGATATACAGATCAGAAGACTGAAGGCTATTTAAAAGTTGGAAAAATACCCATGACTATCACATCCTTTTTAGGAACTGAATGTTAAGAACTGTGAATGGTCTAAGATTTTACTCCCCTGGCAAGTTAGCTTGCCACAGGGTCTTCTGTCTTGACTGTGGCTTCTGGATGCTGCTAGAAGACACAACACTCCCGGGTCAAAGACAACTTCATTACAACACAGCAGCTACATGCACTTCACATTCATGTTGGTTCCTGAGTTTGTTTCCTATTGCTGTTGTAACAAATTGCCACACATTTAGTAACTTGAAGCAACACAAATGTATTCTTTTATAGTTGCAGAGTAGAAAAGTACAAATCAGTTTCAGTGGTCTACAGTCAAGGTGTTACCAGGACTGTGTCCCGTCTGGAGACTTTTGGGAAGAACCCATTTCTTGCCTTTTCCAGCTTCCAGAAGTTGGTTGCTCATGGCCCCATTTCACTGTGAACTCTTCTTCCGTTCATTTCTGTCTCTGACCGTCCTGCCTCTCTCTCTCAAGGACCTTTGTGACCACACTGAGTTACCTAAGATCATCTTTCCATCTCAAGTTCCTTCACATAACCACATCTGCAAAGTTCCTTTTGCCATGTCAGGCAACATAGGTTTCAAGGATTAGGATGTGGACCTCTTTGGGGAGCTATTCGCCTACCAGTCTTCTCCCTTGGCCCCAAAGGTCCATGTCCAGCTTGTGCAAACTACATTCACCCCATTACGATATGTTCCAAAGGCTCGACCTATTAATCTTATCAGGTCAAAAGTTCAAGGTGATCTTAATCTTATCAGGTCCAAAGTCCCAAATCTCATTATTTTAAACGTCTATGCCAGTGTCAATGAGATTCCGGTGATTTTTAACCTAAAGAAAAATTATCTATGGACCTGTAAAACTAGAAAACAATTTTTTCCAAAAAGATAATGGTGTGGCAAGCATAAAATACTAGTTACAAATACAGTTGTCCCTTGGCGTATGTGGGGGATTGATTTCAGGGCCCCCACCCCCACTGTGTATACCCAAATCCTCATATACTCAAGTCTGTCAGTTGGCCTTGTGGAACCTGTGTTTATAAAAAGTAAGTCCTCCATATATGTAGGTCTTGCATCCTAGAAATATTTTAGTTTTGATCTTCATTTAGTTGGAAAAAAAAAAAAAACGACCCTGCATATAAGTGGGCCCATGCAGTTCAAACCCATGTTCAAAGATCAACTGTATTCCCATTCAGAAAAGGAGGAAATAGAAGGAACAAAAGAATCCCTACTTCCAAGAAATGTCAGGATACAACTGGGAAAATCTGTGAGGTTACAAGACCTGGAAGGAATCTTCTATGACTTGCGGCTTCATTCTTTGGGCCTGAAGCTTTGCCCTTAGAAGCATCTTTTTTCTGGAAAGGTAGAAGCCACTTGTAGCTGCATAGTTTTATCAGCCTGTTTTCTGCATGCAGAATTTTGGGATTCTGACAGCCTTCTTTTATCTTGTCCCGATTCTGTCCATTTCAGGTCAAGGTGGCAGTGCTTCTCCCGGCATGACATTTTCAAGAACCAGTGGGTCTCCTGGATAAAGTATAGGAATTCATTCCATTAGACAAGAGACTCCTCTGTAGATCATCTCTGAATAACCCTCTCTCTATTCCTAGCTTGTACACAAACGGATGAAGGGATCCCTGAGTCCCAGTCCTAATTTCCTCAAGAAGACCCCCTCGTGTGATCGAACACTCCAACTCTGTGTTTCTTTTGAGACACTAGCAAAAGCTGCCCAGTCACATCCTTGGTTTTCTTTCCAGAGCTTGCTTTCCTGATGGGGAATCTAGTGTCTTTTGTCATCTGAATAGCCTGAGAATTTCCCAAGTCCTGGTTCCTTTTCATGGAACAGTTCTTCCCTCCATTTACCTTTTCTTCTTACATTTTACTGTAAGTGGCAAGAAGAAACCAGGCCTCGTCTTTCATGTTCTTCTTGGAAATCTCCTCAGATTTCTACATAATTCAGGACACAACCCGCCCTAAGCTTTCTGCCACCATGCAAGGATTCCCTTTCCTCTAGTTTTCAAGAAACGATTCCTCATTTCCATCTTACCCTTCACCTGCGGTGCCATTAATGTCCATATTTCTGCCAGCAGTTTGTTCATGATGATTTTGGTATTCCATGGATTGTGTGCTTTTTTTTTCCTTATCATGCTCACCATTCCCCAAGTCCTCACTAACACTTATTTCCATCCGTACTTCTACTAACAATCTGCTCAAGGAAACTGAGCCATTTTCTGTTATGTTCCTCAGTGTTCTTCAGCTACTGCCCGTTGCCTAGTTCCACATTCTAGGTATTTGTTACAGCCGCAGTAGGGAACTACGGTGCCAGATGCCCTTGTCCTCAAGTCTCACAGTGGGGAGATGGAGCTCAGCGAGGTGCCACGCACACCGTGGGCTGGCATCACAGCTGAGCAAGCCTGAGCTTAGCGAACCCCATGTTTGAACAGTGGGCTTCAAGAACACTTGCCCGGCCTTTGCCCCAAAAGGAGACATTGTCTTTTTTATGCTGGATAGTAAGCAAATCTGCCCTCTGCTCCAGAGGGAACCACTATCTTCATTTTCCCAGGCTGTTTGCTCTCCAGACGTTGGTGATTAGACAGTTGAGAAAAAAGCTGTCAGTGCCTGTGCTCACCCTACATGCAGAAACCTGAGTGGCCCTCAGAACTGTCTCCCAAACCTAAAATGACCAGTATTTGGGATTTTTTTTTTTTTTTTTGGAGTTAGAGTCTCACTCTATTACCCAGGCTGGAGTGCAATGGCATGCTCACGGTCGCCGCATCTCAGGCAATCCTTCCACCTCAGCCTCCCGAGTTACTGAGTAACTGTCACATGCCACCATGCCTGGCTAATTTTTTGATTTATTGTAGAGACAAGATCTCACCAAGTTGCCCATGCTAGTCTTGAACCTCTGGGCTCAGGCAATCCTTTTGCCTCTGCCTCCCAACGTGCTGGGATTACAGGTGTGAAGCACCGTACCAGGCCCAATCATCTGGAATTTTTAAAAAAGAGATGACTTTGAGGAAATTGTAAAAAAAAATTAAATGCCCTGAATTTCTCTTTCAGAGATGTACAGCCACCTCAG